ATGCAATTTGATGGCTAAGCCTAGCTCTTGGGTAAATATCTGCAGGAATGCCCTGACGATGCTAAACTGGGAACAATTGGTAGTTAAATTTATGAAGGCAGTGGTGCTGGGCAGACGGCTGACCCCAGTCCTTCTTCCATGTCACTTCTCCAGAATATTCTAAGTAAGTAAACACCAAATAAGAAAGGTGCTGTAAATTGTAACCCTTAAGAGCCTGCCTCTGAGCAGTTGCGTTTCAATCCCTCTCCTAGGTGAAACATAACATTCCCACGTTGCCAGTGCTAAATTGCCAGAGGACCTATAAGCTGAACTCTCAACATACTTCACAATCTGCCAGGTCACTGGTTGCCAAGGATTTAACTGAGCAGCTCCATGACCTTTGCAATAGAAGGTCATTCAAAGACAAGATATGTTGTGAAACAAGGGCCTTTGAATTTATCTCGGAAATTTTTGCTGCAGTTTAGCCAAACTCAGAACAGTGAACAAACAGATTAAATGTTATCATTATGTCACAAACTTCTTTGAGGTTCAGATGCAAAAACACAAAGAAATCGACACAACTTGCTCATTAATAAAGTGGGCCATCACAACATTTCTTCTAACAACCCAACTCTTATGTTTACTTGTTATTTCAGAGCTGTTTAAATGTATCTTTTTTTAATTTATTATTTTGCTACTGGTTTGAATTAATAATAATAATAATGACATCAATAAAACAGTAGATTAAAATAGATTCTAATAAATTAAAATACAGAAACCAGCAAAATACAACCACAAACAACAAATTAAAATAAAACCACACAATTTGACAGCAAGTAAAATCTGTAATCTGTAATTCACACTCCCTATTGTTTATTACTGAATTCATTTATTGTAGCTGATCACTTATTTATTAGGACATCTCAGCACAAAACAGACATCCACGTTTAACCATGTTAATGTTCATAAGTCAAAATGTTTTAATAAAACAAATCTTGCCGGTCATTTCAAACTGTTTATTCTGCAACACAAATTAAGGAATGAAATGAAGTGAGGACTAAGAAATAAAGTCCTTAGTAATCAGGCAGTAAACATGACTATTTCTGTAACAATCATAAAGTTCCAGTGCATTACACAGCACTGAGACTGCGTATACACTTTATGCTTTTAAAGGGTATTGGAAGAATAATACTAAGTGTGTGTGGCAGCAGTGATAAAGCCAATGACTCAAACCACCCAAAACGTGTTTATATGCTGACATTTTGAAATTTTCAGCTGCGAATATTTTATTATAAGATACAGAACTTATTTAAAACATGCAATTACAGGCACTCGTACTTAAACATTATGTTTTTAGGGATACTTCTCCTGTAAATGCCCTCATAAATCTAGGAAATTTGTAAAATAATCCCCAAAAATCCAGTGATCGTTGATCTTAATATAAACCAAATATACTTTAGGCTTCAAAGTCTAAGTCCAAGCCCTTCTGTCAGCTTTTCCAGTCAGACCTCCCTCAGTTAGTTCGTTTTTTGTGCGCCGTTAAACTTGGCTGTGAATTCAATTTTTTATTGTGGTCTGATTTTTATATAAGATCTCCCCCAAGTGGCAGCCATGTGTTCAGTTCTTCAGCCACAAAGATGTTAAAACAAACATCACCATGGAACAGATGAACTCTGCCCTCGGCTGCAAACTGTGACAAACAGAAAGCTCAACAGGGTGTCCTGTTGGAAATGCAAAGACTGACTGTGAATAGCATTAAACACGCTTTTGTTGCACTGCTGCTAGCGGTCTCTGCTGCTTCAAAATGACTGTCAGAATGAACATTTTTGTTTTTCCCTCAGAGAACACTGCACATCTTCAAGTTAGATGCATGACGCTGATGTGTGCAGGCAGGCACCTCCCAGTTTAAGTACTTTTAAGACAATAAGTGACTCCAAGGGCTGACTGCTTGAAAACTATGATCTGCTACTGAGCAAAAGAAAGTCCCTCGTACTTTATGACCAGATTCAATTACTGCACCCGAAACAGCTGAAAAGTTGAGTCTAAAGCTTCCCTCTCCTTGCACACAGGAAGCCATCGGGTCCCTCTGTTTCCTTCAGCAGCGTATAAAGCCATTTGACATCCTGTTGAAGTGCAGCCTGTGGTTTTTCCATACAACATGTTTTATTAGTTGAAGCTCCACATTGTGTCCATCCACTACCACCCACCATTAGAGACACATGCCTCTGTCCCAGTGATTCAGCTCATATGCAGTGGCATACTGCAAATAAACCCTAACAGAGATTTGTGGTGGCCTCCCAAGCTGCTAAACCCACTGACTGACTGCCACTAGGCAAGCGAATTTAAATCGCGATGAGCATTGAACTTTGTGTATGATTCATATGGACATGATAAAAGACTTTCAATGTGTTGCCCTGAGCAGATGATTAAAATTTAGGCGACAGCGACGAGTCGCTTTGATCAGGATGTTTCAACTCTTCCTGAACCCGGCCAGAGCAAGAGATGAAGCCCTAGTCGGGGTGAGAGACCCTGAAGCCATGTCTTCTATGCTTTGACTCATTGGTTGAACAGCTTATTAGGCTGCCACTTTTTTCAGCGTTTTGTATCTAGCATATACTACTATGATTAGTATTCCTTTCAGTTTGTAAGAAAATAACAATGTGCTGGAGAGTTATATGTTTGAGGATTTAAAGCCAGTTTAATGAAAACAACCATATTTGGACTTAAGGCATGGCAGTTTTAACCATGTTGAATTATTAAAGGTCTTATTTTGTAATTCCTTTGGAAAAGAATTGATCAAACACTGCAGTTACTGAGTTTACACTCGTTCATTTACTTCATACCACCATCAGAACGCACACTAAGAACATTAAATATTTTATGGGTTTCATAAAAAACATATTCAGGAGAGACCAATAACCCAGACTGGACTTTGTGTTCACTTTTATCATTTTCACAAAACTGGAAAAAGCTCTGTTCTAAGTGTGTTACAGTTATTACAAACAGAAGTCTGTGCAAATAATTATATTTGTCTTCAACAGAGAAACCAGCCAAATTTGCATTGTGAATGTTTGGATCCATATGACTTATCCCAGGTGGTTTTCAGGTGGTGAAAACTTTCTGCAAACAATGAAGTCACTTTTGAAAAAGGATTTTATGAAAAGCATATAAAGAAATATGAATACCCTGTAATAACGGTGTAATTAAATGCAATATAAAGCTGAAAAAGGTTGAATGTACATTTGATTTGGGGTTCCAAACTACAAAGTAAGAAAGTGTGACACTCACCAAAAGCTAAACCTAATAGAACATTTTAATATTGGCTCATAAGATGTCGTAACATGTCAGGGGCATATAATTAAACTGAGCAGAAGGACTGGAAAACAAAAAACAGCTGTGAAAGAGTCAAAACTACAGTTCAAATGTCCTAATGAAGGTTGGTTGCAAAGCCAAGTGGGGTGTGCGTAATTATTCAGCCCCCTTTGGTCTGAGTGCAGTCAGTTGCCCATAGACATTGCCTGATGAGTGCTAATGACTACGCACACCCCACTTTTCAGTTATTTATTTGTATAAAATGTTTGGAGTCATGTATGATTTCCGTTCCACTTCTCACGTGTACACCACTTTGTGTTGGTCTTTCAC